ATGGATAAAGGCACCCTTTCATGAAACAATGCATGGATTCGGCTCCTATAAATATGTGTGGGGTGGATGATGCCACATACCATCAAACATATTCTTCTTCTTTCTTCCAAAAATTTCTAAGTATGCTTTAGTGTTCTTGAGCCTGGAACCTAAAGTGGTGATAGTTTTATCCTCGGGAGAAATTTCCTGTAACCCTAGGCTTGTTGAGAGTGGAAATATTCTTTTCGGAAAGTGAACGTTGTTCACGACTCTATCACAATCCTGGTCACCCGGTCTCGGGCTATCGTACGTATACTCTCGTCCCTAAAAGTCTCAACAATGAAAAGAATAGTTTTCCGGTACGATGGCTCGAACCGCTCTTTACAAGAAATCGGTTCCGGTCTATGGAATTATGAGAATGTTCGATGATGGGTTTTTCATCGATGGCAATAGAAGATGGGTTTTCTTCGTACTTATCTCATGGTGTATTCCATATCCGGAAGGTAACTTGGAAGAGGGATGATTAGAAGATGAGGAAGAAGGAGAATGATTCGTAAAATGGAGAAATAGAAGAATGAAAATTGCCTTTGGGTAGGTCACATACTCAATGGTTAATTGGTCTAATTCTCTATTCGACATTTACGAAGTTCTAGATAAACTTGGATTTGTCTAGTGGTTTGGTGGTGTGATTTTGTCTAGTGGTTTACGTTAAACCAAAGAGACGAAATTGTGTATACAATGTTTGATGATTCTGGTAATAGAGTCGTTGTGGTTGTATGTAAATGACATATTTATCTTTGGGACCAATCAAAGATAAGTGATTTTGTCAAGTGGTTTATGTTATTTTAAACCAAAGAGACAAAATGTGTACACAATTTATGATGATTCTGGTAATGAAGTCATCGTACATTTGTATGTATAAGACATGCTTATCTTTGGAACCAATAAAAGATAAGTGAACTTTAATAAAAAGTTGTTATTTCAATTCTCCATGTAGGATATGGGGGAGGCAAATGTGATTCTGTGTATTGTATCAAGCGGAACGACAAGAAAGAGTCCTTCTCTCAATTTTTCTGCACGAGAAGGTACCTGCATAAATTCCATGTCAAATTGGGGGCTCGATGTATGCATGACTTACATGATGCTAGATATCGCATATGAGATATAACAATTAAGTTGGTACGTGATGATTCCTAGTTCTCATCATTTGAAATGAAATAAGGCGTGTACTAGGATATGTCAAAGGCACATTGTATTGACTTATAGTGGCTTTCCATTAATTTTGGAAGGATTTGTTGATATTAGTTGGATTTCTCATGTTAAAGGTGATACTTCAACATCGAGATGGGTCCTCTTGCTTGGGAGAGGTGCCATAATTTGGGCCTCTAGAAAGCAAACTTGCATCACTAAGTTTCACTATGGAATCAAAATTTGTGTGGCCTTGATTTCTCTTAGAGAAGAGACATAATTATTAAGAGGTTTGGTTTATGACATATATTTATGGCCTAAACCAATCTCACCTATTACTATCTTTTGTGATAGTAATGCTAATTTGGCTAAGGCATATAGTCAAGTGAAAATGACAAGTACGATCATGTGGGAGTAAGGCACGGTAAAAGTTGTGAACTGATCATTCATAGTGTTGTGTCTAGACAGTATGACCAAACTCAAAATAATTTGGTTGATCATTTGATGAAGTGGTTAACTAGTGACTTGATGATCAAGTCTGTGAAAGGGATGGATTAAAGTCCATATAATTTCTGGTAATGGGACACCCAATTCCCCTCTAATACAACGTTAGAGGCTGAATTCAATGTGGAAAGCTTATTATAAAAAATTGAAGCACAAAATTTGTCATCCCGAGGTATGTGCTTGTTATCCTGCATGAGAGAAGAGGATGAAGTTTAAAACTTCTTAATTGAATCTTTGAAAAAGTGTATTATGCGGTTACACGAATAGAGATTCAACCTACGTAAGCATGAAGTGTAGCCGCTTCAAGAAACTCGGACTTTGGTTTCGTGTGCGCTTATGAGAAGGATAGGACACATGGCGGATAATAGTGTCAATGCGCTTAGAAGTTTTGAAAACTTAAATGTATATTATCTTCGAATATTCATATGAGTCAATGGGTTCAATCGTTACCGACACCCTTTGTATTCGAGTATTCGTCAAGTGTAATATACTAAGGTGAAAATTCAATTGTCACGACATTTTCATTTATGCTTAAGTTTTGTTGGAAGAATGTTGTGATTTTAGTGAATTCTATGAATACACTAAAATGGGGGAGGAATGTTGGAAATTTGGTTGAATCGGACTAACCAAGTCAAACCGATTTTGGGTTGGACCAACCAACCGGTTTGGTATTAGACCGACCGAACCGATATTCTAATTCCGTGAAGGAACACATCCCTTTGGCCCAGTGGCGGTTGCATTATTTTATGGATAAGGATAACCTTATGGATAGAGGCAACCCTTCATATAGATAAGGATAACCTTTCATATGGATAGAGGCAACCTTTCATATGGATAAAGGCAACCTTTCGTATGAATAAAAGCAACCTTTCATGAAACAATGCATGGATTCGGCCCCTATAAATATGTGTGGGGTGGATGATGCCACATACCATCAAACATATTCTTCTTCTTTCTTCCAAAAATTTCTAAGTATGCTTTAGTGTTCTTGAGCCTGGAACCTAAAGTGGTGATAGTTTTATCCTCGGGAGAAATTTCCTGTAACCCAAGGCTTTGTAGAGGGTGGAAATATTCTTTTGGGAAAGTGAACATTGTTCACGACTCTATCACAATCCTGGTCACTCGGTCTCGGGCTATCGTACGTGTACCCTCGTCCCTAAAAGTCCCAGCAGTTTATAGGGTCAGTTTAGAATCAGGTCATTTTTTGATTCTGTAAGGGTCGATCCGTTGCAATATTTTTTGTAATCTTAGTGACCAACCATACAATTAACCCTTTAATTTTCGTTACTGGCTTTACCATAATTGTACCCGATATTGTACTTTTCATTCTTTGTTGCTACTACAAACACGGCTGAACCAAATTTTTTAACACTCCGTTTGGCAATGGGGGGTGCAAAGTCAAAGGGGATGCAAATTGAGGTGCAACTTGTAGGGAGGAGTTAATTTAAGAAGGGTGCAAATTGAAGTGCAAATTGTTGTTTGGAACAAAAGTGTGAGTACAAAATGAGGTGTTAAATATAAATATGAATAAAATAATTCAAAAAATAAATAATATAACAATAAAATAAAATCTCACATTCCTCTTTTCCTTCCATTTTTTCTGACGTGGCCCCACCATTACCTTTTCTCTACCCTTCTTGGCCCCACCACTGCCCTCCACTTCCTCTTTCTTCTTCTCCCTCCCCTTTCTTTCTCACGTTACACCCCAATTTGAGGGGCACTTCGGAATAGGGGTGGGCAAACGGTTCGGTAAGACCGAACCGAAACCGAACCGAAACAATGTTATTAGGTTCGAAATTCGGAAGGATTATATGGATATTTCGGAAATCATGGTTCTTTTAACTGAACCGAAATTCCAACCAAAAAACCGAAATACTATAATTACAAGCTCCAAATAGTGGATTTTTATGTTTGTAGTTGTTTTTAGACTTAAATATTTGAAATATTTTATGACTTATGTGTTCAAAAGTTTGATTTTATCATTGATGATGCATATAATTGCATATTTATTGTTTATATTAGGGTGAAAAATACTTTAAAAGTGAGAAGATACAAGTAGCCTCACAAATTCGGTTTTGTGTAAAAAACCAAACCGAATTATAATTAGATTTAAACTGACTGAATCGTATTATAATTCGGTTCGAATTCGGTTTGAGGTTTGAGAGAATTCGGGGACTCGGTATTCATAATTTCGGTTCGATCGAAATCGAACCGACTAAATGTCCACCCCTACTTCGGAATAGTAATTTTGCCCCTTAAATTTGTACCCTCCCTGTAGCAAATCAACCAAACAGGGGGCAAACTTCTAGTGTTCAGCAAATCAACCAAACAAGGGCAAACTTCTAGTGTTTCGTGCTTGCACTTCAAAGTTGCACCCCTCCACTTTCCCCCATGGCCAAACAGAGTGTAACTAATTTTCGATTCAGGGGGCTAAATGATAACAACTAGGGGTGAACAAACACACCCGCAAACCGACCCACCCGTCCAACCCGACCCAACCCACCCGTATTTATCGCTAAAACGAAGGTTTTGGGATGGGTGAGGGTTTTCTTTTGTACAACCCGCCTCTTTTGGGTTGAGTTTGGATTTTGGATTACATAACCTGTAGAACCCGACCCAACCCGTGTTCCAACTATTAGTATGAGTTCGGATCTAAAAAATATTTATGTCATATATAGTTATATACCTAGAGAAAATTAAGATATTTCGTCATGTTTTTCTCTCATGGTCTCCCTAATCTAATGCATTCTTCGACTTAAAGTTTAGACATAAATTGAATTTAGTTATGATTCACGTAATCCTTTTTCTTGTGTACAATTTTAATAGAATAACATATGATGGATGCGTTTGTTTATAACATTTTTAACCTATTTCAACAGATATTGTGAAAAAACAAGACATATGTTGAAGTAAATCACATTTTATTAAAATTTAAACAACATTTGTGAATTTTAATACCTTTCACCTTGGTTCATTCATTTGAAAGTTTAATTAGTTATAAAATATTTTATGATGTAAAATAATTATATATTTTATGTTGGGTTGGATTTTTACTTAAAAATATCGCCAACCCGACCCAACCCAATTAGAAACAAACCGTAGAGTTTAAATTTTTTGAGTGGGTTTGAGTTTGATATTTCCCAAACCGTAGTACATTGATCGGTGATTAAAATGACTAAATCCGAACCACCCATATACACACCTAATACACACCTAAGAACCATGATTTTTTTTTTTGGCATTTTGCTTAGATTTGGATTTAGCAAAATCAAAAGAGGTAAAGTAAAGGGAAGGAAAAACGAGAATTGCAGCGCGAGTCTGTTAAATTTCCCACTCCAAAAAGACACACAAGAATCACAACAGACACTCTCTCTCCCTCTCTTTCTCTGGTTCTCTTTACATTTCCAGAAGAGAAAGGAGGAAGAACGCAAAATCAAAATTCAAAACCCTCGAGATTTCACCCCCAGCCCTCACTCTTTCTCTATGACCACGCCAACCCATTTCTTTTTGTAATACACTCTGTTCTCCAAGAGCTCAGAAATCCAATAAATCAGCGATCTCGAGACACAAAGTTCGGTTTTTTATTTGTCCCATTCCCCTTTCCGTTGATGGCGGTTTCCGTTTCAGTTTTCACTCTGAGGGGGCATTAAGTTCCGTTGACTTCCCAGGTGAAAATTCGCCGTTCCTCTGTGAATCTCGGAGGAGTTTGCATTTCATAGTGAGCTCTAACACTGGTTAGACGATTCGATTTCGTTGTTTTCCTGAGGGATTTTCCTTTTTCGCTCAGTCGATCAGTAGGGTTTTTTATTTATTCAATGGCCTGGGAGATTTAATCGAGGAGGCGATGAGTTGAAGAAACGAGAGAGTGAAGGTCGGTGAAACTCGGAAGATGGTGTTGTTGTTCAAATCGAGGATAAAATGGATAGTTCTATTGGTCTTGATGCTATCGACTGGATCCCTAGTCGTTCACCTCTCTATTACCAAGTTCTCCGCCACTAATTTGATTCAGTACACTGCTGTCCCTGCTCTCAGCTTCGACTTGCCTTCCACTTCCCCTGGATCAAAGGTCCTCCTTTTGTTTCAACTCCTTAACCCTTCGCATTCTCTGCATTGGCATTGCATGCGTTGTGTGCATTAGTTGTATTCATTGTTTGATTTGGGATTTCCCCTTTTTGGGTGGTGTTTGTTGCAGAGAGTTATACCGGCTAGAAACAAGAAATTATGGGGTCCTGTTAAGGCCTTGGAGTCCTTGCAGCCTTATGCTAACCCGAGAACGACTTACCCTGGTAATGTCTTTTGCTCTAGCTCGCTCAGTTTATGCTTGACCTGCTTCTTTCTTTACTGTCAATTGTTTTTTCCGATTGGTTTTAGGAATTGGTCGAACTACTTCTATCAGCTTTAGACACCTGCTCTAGCTCAAATGTTTGAACCAGGAAGAAAAATCTGATGTTTGCTTTGTTTAACTTGATTTCAAATGGCTGGGCTTTTTTTTTTTTTTTGGTATAGACAGTTGCAAATCTATCAATGTGGAAAGTTAGTTCTGGGAATAATGTGGCTGGTGGAGTTAATCTATGTCTTTGGGATCTATTTCATTAGATTAATGATAAAAATAAATGTTTTTCTTTTGCAGTCCCAAGTGAGAAGAGCAATGGTTATATATATGCAAAGGTTTATGGTGGCTTTTCAAAGATAAGATCTTCGGTATGATTCATTTGATGATTATTGCTGGCCTTTTGTTAAGGAATTTTTTTTGGAAGTTCATAACTTTTCTCTCAATTTTCTAGATATGTGATCTTGTCACCATATCCAGGCTTCTAAATGCTACTCTTGTCATTCCAGAGATTCAAGATAGTCTCCGCTCTAAAGGCATTAGGTATTGTTGGTGTAGCTGATTTCATACAAATTCCCCCCATGCATTCAAAGCTAAATTGTCTTCGTCTTTCTTTATAGCTTTTTATTTGCTGATCCTCTTGCAGTTCCAAATTCAAGAGCTTTTCTTATCTCTACGATGAGGACCAATTCATAGCTTCACTTAAAAATGACGTGAGAATCGTGAAGACATTGCCTGAGAATTTGAAGGCAGCCAGAAAGAGAAATGAGTTTCCTATCTTTAAGCCCAAAAGTTCTGCTACTCCAAGTTTCTATATCAAAGAAATTTTGCCCAAATTGAAGAAATCGAAGGTTGTTGGTCTGATTCTTGCTGATGGAGGCTGTGTGCAGGTAGTTACACTTCTTGCCATTCAGTTGTTTAGAGAGCATGAACCTTTTTGTCAGGCCATCTGCTACCTACGATTCTAGTACTGAGATTGATTGGCCTGTTTTCCTTTATACCAATTTTCCTGGTTGTGTAATTCACGAATCGTTTAGTTACACTTTGGTAATGCTTGCATGCTTGCTTAGTGGTAACACTAGAGGCCGGTTACTGTCAAGGTGACGTCTTGAAAGATTTGAAGCTTATTACAGTTTGATTAAATTTGCAATGGGGGGAAAATGGATTGCCCTTTGTATCTGTGCTGATTTGTCCTTTGCAATTGATCTTTGTTCAGTCAGTTCTTCCTCCCAGTATGGCCGAGTTCCAGCGACTGAGATGTAGAGTTGCCTTTCATGCTCTTCAATTCCGCCAAGAACTCAAAGTTCTTGGACGTCGTATTGTTGAGAGGTATAGTTTTCTCTGCTTCTCTCTCCCTGCTAAAATCATCACTTTAGCAGACATTGACAGATTTAATAGTGTGTACTGTGATTTAAATTGCTACCGGAGAGAATTTCTAAAAATGATTTATGCTGAACCTGAGTTCTTGGTTTGAAAAAAGCAGTCTGCAAATGCCATAATTGTTTTGATAGATATAGAAAAATCAAAAGGAACCTTTCTGTATGCCAACCTGTGTTTGAGACGTTAAATTCCTCAATAGATAGGGGTCGTTTGGATGGATCAATCTAGAAATGAGTCAATTTGATCAATTGTCTCGTTTTATAAACGAGGCAATTAAAACGAGTCAATTTGAATTACCTGCCTCCACCCCAGGTAATTGAAATTGACTCAAAACGGATCAATTCAAAATACCTCAGGCAGATTGATCCATCCAAATTTTTTGCTAGCAAACGAGGCAATTTGGTAAAATTGTCTCAAAACGAGACATTTGTGTCAAATTGATCCGTTACAATTCCTCATCCAAACGTTAAGAAAATGTTTTTGCAGTACTCTTTCTTTGTATAAGCTTGTCGGTTTCTTTCCCGCAGATTGCAAGGATGGGATCAGCCTTACATCGCATATCATCCTGGCTTAATGAGGGATACCCTGGCCTATAATGGTTGTGCAGAACTTTTCCAGGCTAGTTGCTCTTCTTACTCTAAACTACTTTGCCATCTGGGTTTTCGTCTTCTGTATGGTTTACTGGGTTTGAAATAGTAACATTCACAGGCAGCATACCCGTTTAATAGCGAATAGGTCTGATATTCAATATATTTAGTCTTCCTCGAACTTCACTCATTTTCTTTATTGGACTGTTCACATATTATAGGACGTGCACACTGAACTTATACAATATCGAAGGGCACAGATGATCAAGAGAGGGGTGCTTGCTGACAAGCTAAGTGTTGACTCTCACATACGGAGAGACAATGGCTCATGCCCACTCATGCCTGAAGAGGTAAGTGATTGGTTTTACATGTTCACTTCTCTATATTGGTCAATTGTCTGGATAAAACTTGCCAATAAAAGAAAATGCAGACAGACTGATCAAAATGCTTGTTAAAAAATATGGCATATTACAGATGGAGTTGGCATAGTTTCTTGCCTCTGAAGGCTGACTTGATTTGAACTAAACATTTTATTGGAGGCTTACTTGTTTTTGAATATCAAGAATTTTTGCTTTATTCATTAAATTGCCAATGAAGGGCCAGCTCTTTTACATCTCTGTAAATTTTATCTTATGAGTGTCCTCACCTGAATTTAGTTATTTGTCCTTTGTGACCTCTGCAGGTTGGACTTCTCCTTCGAGCAATGGGATATCGTGCTAATACAATTATTTATATGGCTGGTTCTGAAACTTTTGGTGGCCAACGTCTGTTGATCCCTCTGCGTGCAATGTTTGCAAACTTGGTGGACTACACTTCATTTTGCAGCAAGCAAGAGTTGACGGATTTGATTGGTCCTGAACCTCTATTGCCTCCAAATCCTTTTAAACTGCCTCCTGGTAAGAGTGATGAACAGCTTAAAGAAGAGTGGAAAAGAGCTGGTCCTAGACCTCGGCCTTTGCCTCCACCTCCAGTGAGGCCGATCTATCAGCATGAAAAGGAAGGTTGGTATGGCTGGATAACCGAAACAGATACTGAACCAGATCCTTTACCGGCGGATCTTAGGATGCATGCCCACAAGCTGCTATGGGATGCTCTTGATTACATTGTATCTTTGGAAGCTGATGTTTTCTTCCCTGGTTTCAACAATGATGGAAGTGGATGGCCTGATTTCTCAAGCCTTGTCATGGGGCAGCGGCTTTACGAGAGGGCTTCCTCCAGAACATTTCGACCAGATAGGTAAGCAAGCCACAGTTCTTGTCAGCATCTGTAATTCTGCCACATGCTTAATGAACTGTTTTGTATCTCATTTGATATGCGTTGTGAAACGAGGCATGACATTTGAGTGCTTGTTATTGCTTTTTCTCTCTTGGTTGAATTTCCTTTAATCAATACTGCTTAATAGTATTGGCTATTGCTGACAGCTTCTGTAATTATCCTCCCACAGGAAAACTATCCAGGAATATTTCAAATCCATTCGAGACGATATGTACCATCCTAAGTTCAACTGGACGATTTCAATGAGGGAACATCTTAACAACAGCTTTGGTGAAGATGGGTTTGCCTGGCAGTCTCTTAAGTCGAAACCCGCCTCATTCCTTTCCCATCCATTCCCAGAATGCTCTTGTAGAATGCCCCCTTCAGCTGCTGTTGCTGAGGTCCCAACCATATTGATAAAAGACGAGGACGAGTGTCCGAAATGGATGATGCAGAACAACAATCAAGATGAATCTTCTGAGAGTATAGTAGGAGCGGCTTCCAATGAAGATACCGAGTCAGAGTATGAAAATGAGACGAAGGAAGCACAAGAGGACTCAGATGCTAGTAGTAAGAGTAGTCTAACTCTAGCTATTAACCAAGATGATGAATGGGATCCTAATGACTAGAAGGCGGAGACAGCAGAAAACTACGTTCTTTGATTTGTTTTGAAGGTGATGGTGGTCAGTACTCGGTGGTCACTTTCCGGCGGCAGAATCCCTTCTGGAATGGGAATTTTGAGGACATACAGAGAGCTATTAGCTATATATACACGAAGGGTCTCTTTTTTTTTTGGGGTTTATTCTCTTTGTCTCGTGGAGAATAAGTATTCATTTTTTGTTCTGTAAGTAGATTGAAGTAAAGGGAAGACAGAGCTCTAGTCCTAGTCACAGGAGGGGAAGAGAGAAAACTGAAAAGGAAAGAAATTATTGTATACCATTCATATAGAGAAGAGTTCTTTGCACATTACAGATTTGTGGACATATGTTGATTCTTATGCTATATACGGAGCTTTACCTTTTTCCTTACAGAACTGCAGCTTATCTCATTATAGAGGGTCAAGAAGAAGGTGGAATTGTTGCGGTTTTCCTTGCAAAACTGCAAATTCTCTCATTACTAACTGTCCTGAACAGGCTGAGGCAGAGGAAATACCCATGCTCCCATTTCACTCTACTAGTGTAAACTGAGTTGGAGCAGGTTTAGGTGATGGAGTAAGGGAAGTGGAGGTACAGGAAAGACCTATGCCCTCATCTCTGATACTCTGCGTGTGGCGCAAAACAGGTTCGAGCAGGTTAAGGAGATCGAGTAAAACGGAAAATTATCATCTCCCAACCCCACGGTAGTAGTTTTGGTGATTTCCAATTGCAAATGCTTAAAACAACAGTACAGTCAAGCCATAGGATAAGTACCTCTAGCCAAATGACAGGCTATTGTATACTTAAGACTACCAATCTACCATTTTATCCGCATTGTTGGCTCTTATGCCAGCATGCAAATTCAACTCAACGTTCAAAATTATGCTGCAACTTGGCACACGACACACTACCAACCCACATGGAGCGACTATAAATTCCCCACAAGGCCAAAGTTATATTTCATCTAAAAATTACATTCCCACAACAATCAGCAATGGCTTCATTTGTAGTGGGGAACAAGCTGATGTTGATGGTGGTGTTGCTGTTAGGGATCTATGCCTATGGAGGCTTCTCTGCCAGTTCTCCGTCGCCTCATCGATTTACTAGCATTGGAGAAAGATTTGAAGCATGGATTGCTGCGCAAGGACGAGTTTACGCAGACGCCGGAGAGAAGGCAAGGCGCTTCAGCATCTTCAAAAAGAATGTGGCCTTTATTAACCACTCCAACAAGTTTGGGAGCAAGACTTACAAGCTAGCCGTCAATCAATATGCTGACTTGACCAACAAGGAATTCAGGGCTGCGAAAACCGGGTTCAAGAAACCAGCGAATCTAATCAATCCTGGATCTTCCTCATTCAGATATGGAAATGCGAGCTCTCTGCCAGACACCATGGACTGGAGAACCAGTGGAGCTGTGAATCCAATCAAAGATCAAGGCCAATGTGGTAAGCCTCACAACAAATATAAATTTCAAACCTTTTTTCCTCCCCATTTTTCCTTTCATCAAAATGTCACACTTCTTTTAATAAATTTTCTCCAAATGCAACTTGTAGGAGGGTGCTGGGCATTCTCTGCTGTAGCGGCAGTGGAAGGAATCACAAAGATCTCAACTGGGAAGCTGGTATCTCTATCGGAGCAAGAATTGATCGATTGTGACAACACCGGTAATGACCAAGGCTGCAATGGAGGACTCATGGATGGTGCTTTCCAATTTGTGAAAGCCAAGGGACTCACCACCGAATCCAACTACCCTTACACAGCAGCGGATGGAACTTGCAGCACAACCAAGACAACCTCTCCTGCAACCAAGATCAGCGGCTACGAAGACGTGCCTGCCAACGACGAGCAGGCATTGCTCAAGGCCGCGGCAAACCAGCCCATCTCTGTCGCGATCGATGCCAGTGGCTCTGCCTTCCAGTTCTACTCGAGCGGAGTGTTCACTGGAGAATGTGGAACGAATTTGGACCATGGTGTAGCTGTTGTAGGGTATGGCACCAGTGATGGTGGTATCAAGTACTGGCTGGTGAGGAATTCGTGGGGGACTAGCTGGGGAGATCAAGGTTACATCAAAATGCAGCGCGACGTTGGCCCCAAACAAGGGATGTGCGGCATTGCCATGTCGGCTTCCTATCCTACTGCATAGAACAAAAGAAATTAGCAGAGAAAGGATATCCTGTCATTCTGGAAAAGAAAGGTGTTGGTAACCTAAGAAAGGTGTCTTTTATGCTATATTTGCCATGATTTTATTTGTAAAAGCATTTGTAAATGCCATGTTTGAATATGTATCTTGTTAAGAACTCTTCACTGAAATGACAACAAAGGAGATACTACTGTTACTTTGATTTCTATTACATTCTGTTATGGATTGCATCAAGTGTGAGTATGCTATTCCATAAGGTATGAAATGAACCAAAATGACTCATAAGGAGACTGAACACATAGAAAATCAAATATGAATGAAATCAATACCATAGGGATCAATATTTTATGAAAATGAGACAAAATGTCCCTAAAAAGGGATATATAGGAAAAATACTATGTATTATATTGAATCACCTAAGGCTTGCAATTCATTTATGATTTACTTGTTAGCGACCCTTTTTCATCAATGTTAGCGCTTTTGATACCTAACTAGAAAATTGGTCCGCGCTCTGAACCCAATACATTCATCTGTTACTGAGCCATCATTTTGTTATCTTCTCCATCAAATACCACCAACGAAACGTTGACTGGCGAACAATCCACCAGTGGCTGCAAAATCTCCCTTCCTCATTTCTGGATCTCTACATTACGGCAAGCAGTAGAGTCAACTTTCTTATCAACCAAATCCTCCAAGAACCAATTCCCAACAAAGCGAAGAATCGACCCTTGACTGCGAAGTTACCGTTCTCCATATGGTTGATGGACCAAAACTATGTACTTAAAACAACAAAAAATCAAACCCGAGCAAGGAAACTTGGTCATTGTCTTAAAAGTAAGCATGAATAATACTGCCTAATTTTGTTGAAAAGATTATACCACATTATTATGCTTCCAAGGAGTATTTCAATGCACGACATATTTATAAATATCATGTTAAGATATCCGTACGTATTTTATACGTTATGTTCCCCTACCGTATTTTACTAACTATGTCTATAGATGGAAAATATCCATAATTAACCTCTGTTATACATTAAGGTCACCATCCTATTTAGTGGAATAATGAATAAGAACCATTAAGTGAAGCGAAATTAATCTAATGATCCGTATTCCATAGTCTCAGAAGGATAAAATTGAAAAAATTGTAGGAATGGGGATTAATTTGCAAAAATTTCCCACATAGATATGGAGCAGGTAAGATTTGGATATTTAAAAACGAGGATGGGAATGGTTTAGGCAAATTAGCTCCAAACTCATCCCATTGCCATTCCTACGTTACTATAAATCAAGTCCAACTGTGATAATTGGGAGCTCCTTCCTAGGCGAGCTGGAAACCATTTTAGGGATGACAACAAAACTCTAACTCACGGGTACCTTACTCGATCCAACCCAATCCGGTCAATGCGGGTAAAACCCGTTTTGATGGATTTCGGGTCGGGTTTGCCCAATAGATACCTGCCCAAACTTATTACGTCGCCCTACTCTCGCCAAACCCTACCCTAATTATAATTTCCCCCAATCTAAGTGTCCCCAAATCCTACCCTAATTTCATTTCTTACCAAGGTAATGTTTTCTTTTTCCCAAAAGAAGTAGGAGGGATAAATTAATAATTGAAGTTGAACACACAATGTTTGTTGGTTTGCTGCTCAATCACAAACAATAAGGAATGAACGGAAAACAAAGAATTGTGTGCTTTTATTTAGTGTAATTGTGATTTGTTTGAATTTTCTAGACTAGTGTTTTATGTATGGATAATATCTATGGGAAAATTGATGTATGACTATTATTTTGATAGGAACTTGTTATTGTAAATTTTTGGGTAATGACTATATATTAGTCAAACCTTTTTCAGATTCTTTTTTATTAGCAAACCTATGGAAATACTAAGAATTAGCCAAATGTTAACTTCCATTTAACAATTATGTAAGTACTATTGACGTGGCAACATGATACTGACTTGGAAGAGACACATAAAAGTACCCATGAACCCGCGGATACCCAGCGAGTTGGCTTGGGTTTGAGTTTTTCAAACCCAATGGATTTTACCCCAAGTTCTTTTGACGGATAAACCCATGGATTTGGGTTTGGCAAAATTCAACCCAACCCGACCCATTGCCATCACTAGTTTGGACTTTGTATAATTGTATCACAAAAAACAGAGCGACAATTAATAGGAGTACAATATCCATAATCAGTGGCTGAGCTAGGAATCTTATTAAGAGGGGATTACTTTGAATTGTGATAACTGGAGGGGGGACTAAGTACTTAGCGACTAGTCTATTTTCTAAATTTGTTGATTTAGTGGGAAAAAATGGATACATGAATTCTTGTTGTTGATTTAGTGGTGAAGGTTTGAAACCCGACGAGAGCCATTGGCAATGTGTGAATGCAAGTGCCAATGAGAACTCAGGATAACGGTACCGTCAGACCAAGGGATAAACTGTTCGATTTCCTCTATAGTCTATACGCTACAGCACACCAGCCAAAGAGCTGGCTATTATTACTTGACTACCATTTTATCCGCATTGTTAGCTCCTAATCACGCCAGCGTGGAAATTAACTCAACGTTCAAGATTATGCTAACATTTGGAACAAACCAAGAAAAGTGAAGCACTATAAAATCACCACAGAATCAAGTTGTATTTCATCAAACACACATTACCACAACAACACATTCCTTTGAAATACCCAAATCACTAGATAACTGTAATGGCTTCATCGGTAGCTGGGAACAAGCTGATGTTGATAGTGGTGTTGCTGTTGGGGATCTATGCCTGTGGAGCTTTCTCTGCGAGATCGCCATCCCCTCATCGAGTTACTAGCATTGAAGAAAGGTTCGAAGCGTGGATTGCTGAGCAAGGACGAGTTTATGCAGACGCCGGAGAGAAGGCAAGGCGCTTCAGCATCTTCAAAAAAAATGTGGCCTTTATTAACCACTCCAACAAGTTTGGGAGCAAGACTTACAAGCTAGCCATCAATCAATATGCTGACTTGACCAACAAGGAATTCAGGGCTGCGAAAACCGGGTTCAGGAAACCTGCGAATCTCGTTCACTCCGGATCTTCCTCATTCAGATATGGAAATGCGAGCTCAGTGCCCGACACCATGGATTGGAGAACCAACGGAGCTGTGAATCCAATCAAAGATCAAGGCCAATGCGGTAAGCCTCAGTGAAAACATAAAGTTTAAACCTTTTTTCTTCCTTCCATCAAAGGTCACAATTTTTCTTATGAATTTTATGGGCTCCAAACACGACTTGTAGGAGGGTGCTGGGCATTCTCGGCAGTCGCAGCAGTGGAAGGAATCACAAAGATCTCAACCGGGAAGTTAGTATCTCTATCGGAGCAAGAACTGATCGATTGTGACAACACCGGTAATGACCAAGGCTGCAATGGAGGACTCATGGATGGTGCTTTCCAATTTGTGAAAGCCAAGGGACTCACCACCGAATCCAACTACCCTTACACAGCAGCGGATGGAACTTGCAGCACAACCAAGACGACCTCTCCTGCAACCAAGATCAGTGGCTACGAAGATGTGCCTGCCAACGACGAGCAGGCATTGCTCAAGGCCGCGGCAAACCAACCTATCTCTGTTGCAATCGATGCCAGTGGCTCTGCCTTCCAGTTCTACTCGAGTGGAGTGTTCACCGGAGACTGTGGAACCAATTTGGATCATGGTGTTGCTGTTGTTGGGTATGGTGCAAGTGATGATGGTACCAAGTACTGGCTGGTGAGGAATTCATGGGGCACTAGCTGGGGAGATCAGGGATATATCAAAATGCAACGTAATGTTGCTGCCAAAGGAGGTCTCTGCGGTATTGCTATGTCAGCTTCCTTTCCAACCGCATAAAGCCTAGGAAAAAAACTAGCTGAAGAATTTGCATCGCTGCAAACTAAGAAATTGTGTATACATGTATATGCACTGTTACTTGTCTTCCAGTTAAATTCTGCTATCTTACTGTATCCTTGATGCAATTATATTTATGGATTTGTATATGCTGTTGCTGCAATGTTGTGTGATGGTCCATGTTTCATACAAGAACTTGATATTAACCCTTCAATCTTTCCTCATATTTAGATCGATGACATGGTTTTTTGCTGATCACCATCAACCACAAGGTTGTTAACTACAAGATTGCGTTTAAACAATGCTAGACAATATCATAGTTGCAGAACTGCAAATGAAAGAACACGAAGCATAAGGGTTGGAGGCAAAAAGTCACAAACTGGATGAAGCAGCGAATATATTTATACACTCACGGTACTATTTTTACAAGCTTAAGACAATTTATCCGCAGAGTTGAATGAACACAAAAACAGGCAGACAGATTTTCACAACTACAGACCAATCACGAAGGATAAAAAAGACACACAACTCTTCAGATTTTGACACAACTTCTGGAATGGGGTCCCAAAAATCATCGCTAAATGTGATGACTAACATATAGTACAACCGACAGTATACATGAACCGACACGTAGTAAAACATGAAGATATTAAGCACCACTCTTGTTAGTCCAAGGCTTGAGTACTCCCACTACGGTGATGGCAACGATGATGAGAAGGATTATGATGGCAATGCACATCCATTTTCGAGAGCTCTTCTGGTACGACTTTGCCCTTTGGAGGGCAGTATTCCCTGACTGTACATGATCTACTGCAGTCGATACCTGAAAGGCAGAAGTTTGCAAAAAAGAAACACAGTTTCAGGGATTTTTCTGGAAACCCACATTTCACTTGGTAGAAATTGTTCAAGAAAGGAAGTTCTCACTTACATGTGATTCTATGTTGTCGAGCAAATCGCCCTGTGCATCCACCAACACTGCCATATCTAAGAAAATCTGCAAACGAAGATGACAAGTGGATTCAGATAAAACAGCTCGAACCTAGCCACTTGACCGCAGTCTAATTATAGTACTAATTCTTATATTTGTCGTGTTAAGAACTGCTATGAGCTTTGTCTCACATTTCATCTTTCAATACAGAATATTCTCAAGCATATATAATTCCTTGAAACATTATTTTCGCTAGTAAATGGAGTGACATGAGATAATAGTAATAGTTATATACCTGTTGTAGTTCCAATAACTTTTTCTCAAGCTCTCTGACCGCATCATGACGCTCTTGAATTTCTGCCAGGGTATCCATTACCTATTCATGCAAAATGTCCACAAACGAGAGAGGATTTAGCATGAAATCATCTCAGATTGGAAACAATTTACCGTCTTGTAACTTTTTCTAACAAATTCTCAGGCAAAGAAAAGCTGGAAATATTAACAAACCTGCCCTCGCCCTTGTTCATGAATAGCTTTCTGGAAAATCTGTTCACTATCTCCCGTCTCAATCAATTGGTCAATTGTCTGAAAATGGTTGAATTGTTAGATAATGCACATAAGTTGAGAATTACTGCTCGAGTATTTATAATCATGAAAAGATCTACCTCTTCATCTGCTCGTGTACCGGTCACTGCAAATCAAAATGGAAGAAATGTAAGTACCATGTATGCAAGATCCAAAAGTCAATGTCGAAAACAAATCAAAGAATGCAGGAAGATAAGATCTGGTAAGGGGAATACCTGTGAATACGCGTCTCTCCACAACTTCACGATACTCTTGCTGGATCATTTCTCTTAGAGACTGCAACATTAGCATGCGGTATTGCTGTGAACAAGAGTACAGGGTAGCTGGGTAGGGTACATATAAATATAAATACATGTGCTGCTGCTGGATTTACCTGAAATTCAGCCATCTTGTCTTTAAACTTTTTCTTCAATGAACTGCATGATATGTTGCTAAATGCTATTAGTTCTTGTGGTTTGCTGAATACTACCACATGCAAGTACTGTACAAAATTTCTTAGAAAAGAGGCTCATGCATAAGACCATAGGAGAAATACTATCACAGGAATTGTCAAATGTAAAACGTCAATATAACTAGTCTCATGGAAACATTAAGAAATATTTGACACTAGAGTGTTCAATATAAATTACACTGTTGTTGAAGTTCTTGATCGATCAACAGCAGTTCCTTTCCCGCATGATGGCTTTTGCCGATTTGCTAAATTCTGGATAAACACAAAGTAAGATCGTAAATCAATCTAAGGGAACCAGATACATTCCGCATTAACTTTCTCTTACCTCCTTGTCAAGTGCTTCAATTTTTGCTTTAGTCAATCGAGCAATCTTCCCAACTTCATCAACATCTTTCTCCATTCGCTGCTTGATAGCTGTAAATGAAAGCAAGTAAACGTCAAGCTACAGGTACATGGATTAGATTTCAATATTGATTTGAATGCAGAAAATAAAATAAAAATGAAACAGTGATGAGCCAAGGAGCTCAGACCCAAACCAAAGAAAATATGAGCTCAGGAGTTCAGAGCTCTAGTAAAAGTTATTAATGAATTAGGAATGCGGTGTAAAGCTCATACTGAAGCCCTTATAACGGCTTTTAGGGATCTCGTAACAGTAGTGAGGCCAGGATCTAACTAGCCACTTCAGATTGCATTCACCTGATACTAAGTCGGCGTTTACGAAATCGTTCTAATGACTATAAACTTGTAGAGACCAACTTTTTGACGATTCTCTAGTCATTTCCAACTAAAGTTCGGGCGTGGAAGGAAATGGATAAGTCCAAAGTAGAGTACTTGGTCTGTTCGTCGTGATACTTAAATTGACTGTGCATAAGAGAAACAAAGGTCCAACGAATGATGAAGTAATTACCTTTCATGGAAGGAGCCTTAGTCACAGCCTTGGACTCCTCATGTGCATCCTGCAAAAGGAATTAAAATGACAATAATCAATAAAAATGCACAACTGAAAAGGTTGCCACAATATTACAAGTGAGCCACAAGGTCTTGCCATTCGTGCAAACAGTTGAGGATCAGATGTATGTACAAACCAGATATGACAAGGAACATTGGATCAAAATATTTTTTTTACTACACTGTTCAGCAAAAGAAACTGATTACTTTGAATGAATCTGAAGTATCATTCAAAGTGAGCTGACGGCAGGCAGTTCAACTTTACTCATCCAGGGTAAGTAAGAGGCTAAGAATTTTTCAGAACAAAGTGGTAGGCAGCACCTACTTGACAAACAGACACACTAACTAAAAAATATACCAGACCGTAAAGAGTAAAGACCAGTAAGCTTGATCTACAACACCAACCAGATGATGAAGGGTGGAGCTCAAACCTGGAGCTTTCTAAGTAGCTTGTCGAGCTTTTCACATAGTTTCTCGATCTCTTGAACCTGGGAAATGAAGAACGGAAACTATATTACACCTAAAACCTATACATCACAAAAGGTTATTTGCTACCAGGGACACCATGGGCATCCAGTAAAAAGAATGAAGACCCAGATCACCTTTTTAAAGAAATTCTCTAATCCCAATTCCCCAGAGGTCATTCCCATCTCAATATCAGTAGGTCTGGAACCCTGATCCCGAGGGATTTCAAATGATTCCTGCACAAGTCAAATCAAGAGGTCTCAGCATATCTCTAACCTAAAATGAAAAATTAAAATAATAAAAAACGAGGCAACAATAATCTAAAAGACGGACAGTGAGAAAGTCAACAGCCAACATTAATAAGTATACTGATTTGCTATTCAAACATCTAGTGTGGAACTTATCATGAAGGCGGAACACAGCTGAAATGCGGCTGCAAAAGCATACACAACACTATATGCAAACACTGGATTATGGATAACAATTAATCCGGTACCTCTCACTAAGTTTCACGAGCACACTAAACCAGACAATGCAGATGACTGAGTTTCAACAGGATTCTGTAGAGTACTTCTAAAAAAATAAAAACATTCAGATGGGAGTTGAATCAATTCACAGGAGAGCCTCGGGCTCCCGAATGTTTTGAGCTCGATCCATATGTTTCCAGGTATATTCTGAATGTTCCAAGATCCTACTGATCAAATTCCCCTGTCCTGCCATTTCGCACCAACCAAGGATTGGAAGGGTGGGGATATAAAATCTTGACCCAACGATAAAAACATCAAAACCCGTCGTCAGCAACAACGTCAGATCGTGAATCAGAGAATGCCGGCGGACAAAAAAAGAACTCCAGAGCCATACAAACAACGAGATCAAGACAAAACAACATTCGATAAAACGCCAACCAACCACAAACCCACAAACAAAAATAAAATGTTTTAACTCGATCGAAAGTTGCAAACTTTATTACCGTTAAGAGGTCGTTCATCGTGGCAGAAGAAAAGGGAATTAATGAATGAGCTCAAACAACGTCAGATCGTGAATCAGAGAATGCCGGCGGACAAAAAAAGAACTCCAGAGCCATACAAACAACGAGATCAAGACAAAACAACATTCGATAAAACGCCAACCAACCACAAACCCACAAACAAAAATAAAATGTTTTAACTCGATCGAAAGTTGCAAACTTTATTACCGTTAAGAGGTCGTTCATCGTGGCAGAAGAAAAGGGAATTAATGAATGAGCTCAAACAGACCGCCTTGATGACTCTCTCTCTGTAGTCAAGTCTCTGCCGTCAGCAAGAAATACCACCCAGCTGGAAGAGCGCCCAGGAAGAAGAAGAACCAATTGATGATGTGGTGGGTTTTTCTATTTTCTCGAACGTTAAATTGGGCAGGAGGAAAAGGGGAAAGGGACCTGGCTTCCCTTCGACAGAAGAAAAGGGGGATATGAGGGGAAACCAGGCCTCCAATTGGGGATTTAGGGTTCTAACTTACTTTTTTCTCAGAGCACGATATCGATCGATGGTGAGAGACAGATAGATAGGCCAATAATATTGAACCTTGCCGTTTTTTCCGTGTTGAAAACTACGGGACAGAGAGAGAGAGAGAGACAGCGGCGTGCCAGCTCGGTTCGAATTGGGGACAGCGGTTTGTCTGCAAAACGGCGCTGGAAATTATAAGTAAGGATACTGTACAAATTTAGTACCTTGTTTTTAATATTTATTCAAGCTTCATCTTAAAGATTTATGATGCTAACATTCCAGTCCTTCTTGGCGATTCTTTCCAAAAGAAAATTTGTTGGTGTTATCGGACCTGGTTAAGAACATGACAAGTCAATCAGTATAATAGCTAAATTGCAAGTTTGGTCACTTGAATTACTAGTAAAGTTCACGTTAGTCACTAGAATTATTTTATTTCATTTGTAGTCACTTAAATTGGGCACATAGTCCAATTTTGGTAACTCTCCGTTAACCTACGTCAGACTCCGGTAACGGAGGCCGTTAAGTGATTACGTGGCTAACAAAAAATCTCAGTCAGCTTATTTTAACCCTAAAAATCGACGACCCGACCCACCACATCGGATTTGCTCGCCATGTCACCCTTCCCTACCCAACCCACAACCCCACCCAAGACCCAACCCAAGACCCACCCGACCCCGCTTGATATTTTTTTTTATAAGTCCACACTTCTAAATGAAGGCTTCCATCTTCCTAACCATATGTTCCCTTCCTCTAACTAAATATGTCCGAGATTCGCTCCCTCCCCATCCATTTGTTCCCTTCTTCATTCTGCATTTTGTTTCTCTCACTTCCCCTATCCAAATGACGACACCCTTTTGTCACTATGGAGAGCCAACATATCTGAAGACGAGTTGGACTGATGCTAATCTAAGGAGAAGGTTCTATGGGTGCAGCAGATATGGGTTAAGATTTCATCCACCTTTGTTTCATTTTTACTATTACCATTTGACTATTATTTTGCCTTTGTCCATCTATTTTTTTTTTGTGCGCGATTTTGTGTAGTCAAATGGAGCATGTAACTACTTCAGATGGCTTGACCCAGGGAGGAGTTACGGTGCTAATTGTACAAGAGTTAGCACCATCCTAATCAAGGGAAAAATTACTACTAGTTTGAATTAGTAGTGATTTAGCTTAGATGTTGTATTGATTTTATAATAAGTCGTAGTGATTTCGTTGTTTTTAGTAGCGTTTTTTGTTATTTATCACGGTGCTAACCCCTATAAGGGTTAGCACCTAATCCCATCCCCTTGACCCAACCTTTGATGGGCATATGAGAAATGTGGTGTTGAACTTTCATCGTCGAATTCGGGAGCTAGAGAAGAGGCGAAACAAGAAAGTGTCCAAGTTTGATCGAAAAATGGTGTCGATCATCATTTTAGGAGTTATTGTATTCTCTTTGTTTTGGACAGGAAAGTGATAAGTCATCTGTGTAGTTGTAGCTGTTGTAATCTGTTGAAGTGTAGCTGTTGAAATCAAGTTTATGTTTAGTGGTTGACAGTGTGTAACCCTAGTACTATCCATTTCACGATTGGTCACTTGAATTGCAAAGTTGTTTCATGTTTGGTCACTTGAATTACAATGTGGTCTCATGTTTGGTCACTTGAATTGCAAAGTCGTTTTGTGTTTGGTCACTTGAATTGCCAAGTGGTTTCATGTTTGTTCACTTGAATTACAAAGTGTTTCATGAATGGTCACTCTCAGAGATGCAGCTCGTTTGGAACAAACAACAAGTATTTCTACAATACGACAAAACAAAAGACTAATAAACCTAATAGTCATTCATGAAACTTAGTACACTACAAGATCCAAATGATAATTACAGCCTCGAGGCCAATGTTTGTCCAAAAGAAAGTGAGACCATGACCTAATACGATATCTACCACGACAAAACAAACGTCAACTTCTACTAGTTTGTGAAGATATCAAATCTACATTAACTAGCCATTGGATAAGAGGCTTCAAAATAGTAATTATCATTTGGACCTAAACTACAACTAAGCTTCACATATTCTCTTGAGTCACTTGGCTTGCATTCTGTGATCCTCCACATCCTTGGCTGAGTTGTTGTGATGGCTAATTTCCTGGCCTCCTAGTAGTTCCCTGCAAAGTTAAAGCAACATTAGAAGCTTGTAGGAAGTCATTAGATAACAAAATTGTACAAGTGAATGGATCAATACATCTAGCATGAGCTGGATAATGTCGGGCTGACTCAATGGCAATGAAGCAGACGCTTTTGCAGCCCTCTGTTGTCGCCTTTGTACCAACCTGTTTTTTTTCCTGCTATTTCCAGGTGTTTAGCCATTTTAGCTTCTTCCTTGGCCTTTTTCCTTGCCTCCACCTGTTTCTTCCTTTCTTCATCATGGAATTTTTTGGTGTGACCAACAGCCCCACATGTAGTACACGCGTACTTCTTTCCTTCCAACTTTAATGATTCCCTTGCACCCTTCTTCTATTTTTCTTCCCATTTTCATCCTCATCAAGTCCCTTTCTTTGCTACTTTTTAGATTTGCCCCTCTTTTTTTAGTCTGCCATTGGAGGACTCCACAATGACCCAACTCAGATACCGGTCAGTACTCCTTACCATTAGTAGGTGAAATGGACTACTTCTTCCTTGTAGTCTTCCTTGCATATTTGTTTGAGCAGCCCCTTGCTCATATTCTTGTATGCTTCCATCTTCCTAGCAACTTTCCCACCTAGAAACTTAGCAGTTGCAAACTTCACCTTGAAAGTCCTCTGACAATCTTTAGAATGTTGTAGCTTGCACTTCTTGATTTGGACTACATCCGTAAGACTCATCCTCGAGGCCCATATACACCAATCACATGGATTGGCACAAACTGCTTGCAACCTCTTTTTGTCGTTCTTCTTGAAACGAATATGGCGCTTTTCCACGAAGGCATATTGTTTTATGGCTTCTTTCAACAAGTCAAATTTGCCAAAAAATTTAGAAACAGTGAAGGTAGGGCTCTCAATGTCTCTCCCAGCTCGAAACTCTTGCATCTCATGGTTGTCATCATCTTCATCTGAGCTGTAAATGGTCCTTCGATCATCCGAGTCGACATCTGAGGCCTCTTTCGCTTCTATGATAGTCTGCCTGCCCTTTGAAGATTCGCCTTCTTCGCTGAAAAAATAAGCTTCAACATCTACAGCTACATTCTTCTCAAACTGCAGATTGTCACCAAAACTAAAATCCTCTTATTCACTAGCCTTATAGTCACTATCATCTTCTTCATCATAGTCACTGTCAGCTTCTTTAGTCTTTTTCCCCTTGGCGACAACTACACCTTCTTCCCCATCACTCTCCTTGAAATCGGCAATGTCTTCCTCGGAGATGGGATATAATTCGATGACCCTCGCTTCTTCATTTGCAGATGTTGCCATGGCGAGTATGTCTTCATCTGAAGTAATCTCTAACATTGCATAAGTGGAAGGAGAGCTCCAGAAGAACTTCGGCTGCTCAATCCTCCCACCACATGCCTTGTATATGTCCGGCAGATCGAGTAACGATAGCTCGTCGCTATCCGCATAGTCCCAGTAGACTGTGGACTTCTCGTTGAGGAAATGTTTGCCATCCTTCCTCTTCAATGCTTCTGATAAGTGAACTTGAAAGGTAAACTCTCCACTTGAAAAACCTGTTGCAAAGGAAAGTGAGAATGGGTGATTAAAAGGCCAACCAACAGTAATGGGGCAGAGAAACTCATCCTTTTCATGCCACCAACTTCTATTAAAAGCATGAAAATGACAGGTCAACATTGAAAGCTGCTGGTTTTGGTATTTCCCACAAGAACCCCAATGTTCAATTCGAAAATAACAACCAAGTGTTGTACTTTACTCCAATAAAGTCCAGTTATGAAAGGGACAAGAAAAACTGCTCTCTACCATTATGAAAAGTGCAAAAATGATAGGGCACTCACTATATTTCGGTTAGGAGAGCATTTGGTGCACGCACATGACCCCCCATGGTTCTGTCGTGTAAGGTGTGAGCCAGAAAAACAGACAAGAAGGAATCTACCATTAGTATAAACAAAGGTAAAAGAAAACCCAAAAGATTCCCAGGACAACGGCAAGTCCTACTCTTTTCAGTATCTCTAGATAAAGGCCAGAACAACCAAATGCATGTGAAGCCTCACCTTTACAACCGGTGAGAAGAGGCTTGCAGCTTTGAGGAAGGGGCTTTTTTTGTCTCCATCGTCAACCCACCGCCAGAGAAAAGACGAGCTCCGAATTAGGGTTTTTGCATCGGGTTGCAATAGAGGAAGAAGAAGGGGCGCGCGATGAAGAAGGATGGGAGACTACAAGAAAGCAGAATTAGGCGAAGGGATTTAAGGCGGCGATGTGGCGGCCTTCATCCCTCCTTCGTCGGTGATAAAATCTCGAGCAGAGTGGGTGAGGAGAGACGCGGGAGGAAGAGGAAACGATGGAAAATGGAAACTGACCTACCCGTTCCTGTTTCCAATTTGCTTTTTAGATTTAGGGGTCAGGTGAGTCTTGGGTTGGGTCTCGGGTTGGTTTGTGGGTTGGGTAGGGAAGGGTAACATGGCGGGCAAATCTGACATGGCAGGTCGGGTCGTCGATTTTTAGGGTTAAAATAAGCTGACTGAGATTTTCTGTTAGCCACGTCATCACTTAATGGCCTCCGTTAATAGAGTCTGATGGAGGTTAATGTAGAGTGACCGAAATTGGACTGTGTACCCAATTTAAGTGACTACGAATGGAATAAAGTAATTCTAGTGGCTAACGTGAACTTTACTAGTAATTCAAGTGACCAAATTTGCAATTTAGCCTCAGTATAATGTTTTGTCCTATGTTTTTTTACATAGTAGCCCTACAAACATTAATGAATGGCTGAGATTGAGGAGAAAAAGATCTAATGACCATCTTTGCAAGAGGTAAGGAGGAAAAGTAGAAAATAGGAGAGGGGTTGATCAGATTTTGAGGTAGCCCCTAGATTTTGGGGGCTAGCGCGAATTTCTAGGAAGTTGTTAAAGAAATTTTCAAATCTCACACAAAAATTAAATGAGCCTTAA